CATGCTTAGCCTGGGCATGCTCGGTCTCAGGATGTGTTGCGCGTCTCAATGCCCTTGGCCTCCGGGGTGGGGATGCTCGTCCCCAGTCTTTGGCCTCTGGATGATGGATGTTCGTCCCCGGGCTTTGGCCTCCGGGTGATGGATGTTCGTCCCCGGGCGTTGGCCTCCGGGTGATGGATGTTCGTCCATGGCCCTTGGCTCTTGGGGTGGAAGATGTTCGTCTCCAAGCCCTTGGACTTTGGTGGTCTTCTTTAGACGCTCGGCTTCTGGGGTGGAGGATGCTCGTCCCCGGGCCTAGGCCACTGGACGATAGATGATCGTCTTCGAGCCCTCGGTATCCGGGGTGACAGATGCTCGTCCCCAGGCCTAGGCCACTTGACGATAGATGATCGTCTTCGGGCCCTCGGCATCCGGGGTGAAAGATGCTCGACCCCGGGCCTAGGCCACTGGACGATAGATGATCGTCTTCGGGCCCTCGGCATCCGGGGTGAAAGATGCTCGTCCCCGGGCCTAGGCCACTGGACGATAGATGATCGTCTTCGGGCCCTCGGCATCCGGGGTGAAAGATGCTCGTCCACGGCCCTTGGCTCTTGATGGTCTTCTTTAGATCCTCGGCCTCCGGGTGGAAGATGCTCGTCCCCGGGCCTAGGCCACTGGACGATAGATGATCGTCTTTGGGCCCTCGGTATCCGGGGTGAAAGATGCTCGTCCACGGCCCTTGGCACCAAGGTTCATTTTGAGCATCATCTCTTATTTTTTGTCCTGATTATAATCTTTATCTGCACAATGAACATAGTAACGCGGCCAATTGGCCAGACAATATGTATATGTGCACAATTTTTTTTTTTTTTTTTAATTTTGATTTGGGCCTCTTCCGGGTGTGACCGGCGGCCTCGGGGTGCAATGACCCTCGACTCGGCTCGTCCCCTAATTATTAAATTAAAGTGTCGGTGGAAGCTCATCCCCAAGCTTCGCTTGACATTATTTAATTTTGGGACATTTTAATCCCTATTAAATAATGGTGAGAGCACATAATGCTTTAAATCACAAGGTAAAAATGATATACTTAGCTATTATGAACCAATTGTGCAGGTTGTTGAAATTTGGCCCACCAAGGAATCTATTGGGAGCTGAGGACGTCCGGCCCATTTGCCCAAAACCAATCCCTATTGGCCTTTATTATCATTATTGCCGCAGGCTAACAACGGAGGGGACGCACGTCCACGACCGCACGAAACCCGCAGTCCGCCTAATTCATCGCGCGACAACAGTAGGCCGAGCGGTGAATTGTCATCGGTCAGGCGAAGGTCTGCCAATGGTTGCGAAGGTCTGAACTGAGGTAACTCCGATTCTTGGGCGAGCTTCCCTGGACGTCTGATCTGGATCGAAGCTGCTCCTGGGGACGAGCGGCCTGAGGAAACAGGCAGCTGTGTGAACCGAGCAAGCGATCTGCAGTAGCATCCTGAGCTACCCGATGACCGGCGGGCCCACATGTCTTAGACCGGCCGGGCGGCCATTTACGTGTTATTTCCCCTGCCTCCGTAGCTGTGCAGGGAACGAGCTGCTGCCCAAGCACTGTTGAATTGGCGAGTTGGGTGGTCTTGCTATATAGGATGCACGTCTGGTAGCCTGAAGCCGTGGGGTGAGGGGGGACGCTCTGTCTGGGAGAAACTGGTCTCGCTCTATGCCAGGATTCACTGACCCTTACATACGTGCGTCCGAGCCAAGCCTGGTCCCGGGGCATCATGGCAATCTTCAATCATCACCATCAACCAGAGTAGCTGCAATTGATGAGATGGACCTTCAGTCCGGCCTGCGACCTCTGTTCATGAGTCATGACCTCCAGTCCGGCGTTCTGATTGGGAGGACGAGCGTCTCTCTAGGATTGTCAAAGCTATGTGGGACTGCCTTCCGGCCGGCAGAAATACTCAACAATTTTCCCCTTCAACCAAGGCCGGGCAGCGACTGATCCGGGGACTGAACATTCCCTGCCAGAGGTGGAGGTGTGCGAGCCGGGCGGCCGCAGCATACCAGAGCGAGTTGTCCTTGATTTTCCGCTCGTCTCTCTCCTACACGAGACAAAATGGCGTGTGGCCGGCCATTGCGAGCCCCATGCTTAGAAGGTGGGCAATTTTCCTTGATACCATTGGGGGACGAGCGGCCAGTTGTGTTTCATTCATTTTGATCCCCGATTGTGAAACAATTTGGTTGTTCCCGTTAGAAGATGGCCGTCCAGTTGATTTAGGAAGTTCGTGGAGCTCCGATGGCCGCATCTCCTAGTGGACGGCAGCATGGAAGGACCTTCAATGACGGCCAAGCAAATGGACGAGCGTCTCCCATACAACTAATGAGCTTATTAAAAATTCAAGTATGTGGTTATGTCTAGCCGGGCGTTTCCCTTCGAGTTCCTAGACCCGTAGACCGTGCGGCTGAAGAGTAATTTACACCAACAGTCTTGGGAAAAGAGAGTCAACCATGAGCCCACTTATAATCTACTACCTACGTACTTCTGCCATGCCACGTGCTATCAAGATGTGGTTGGTTGTCCATAATTTCCTCAAAAATGGATCTGCCAGCATACTTGCTTTACATTAATGAAGCTTTAGCTCCTGGGTGCACAAAATAGAGCATGGAACGACTCCGACGACTTCCTCTCAGATCTGGATGATCCCAGATCCAAAACTCCAGATTCTTCATCCAACTCCTTCCTCTTTTTTGTTGAAATCAGTCCACTTCGTATGAATTTTTTTTTTTTGTAGAAAACTCATAACAGTAGAATACATGAATCTTTTTGGACAGATTCCCACAGACGGCGCCATTGTTGAGTTTAATCCAACACGATATAGTAAATATATGTATAAATGTGTATGAACAAACTATTTTTACGTGGAAACCCGGAAAGGGAGAAAACCACGGGACTTTTTAGGCTAATGTCCAAGCCCTCTCTTTCTCATTAGGACTCTCCTCACCATTACATTGTACAATTTGAGCTCCCATTAATGGAGTATTGTAAGCTAGCTAGAGAGAGGGAAGAAGAATAAGCTAAGGAAGAGGGAAGAAAAAGATCCCTAAACATGTGGGAAAGCCCCATATTTATAGGGGCAAGGGAAAGGGGGAAACCTAACCTAATGGGCCAAGTAAGCCCAAAATGGGCCCAAAGGGCCGAAACGTGCCTAATAGGCTGAAATGGACCTTGTCATTCGGGCTCCAAACTGGGGCGATGCCTTGGGCTCCTGAACAGTAACGGACCGGGGTAATATACCTCAACAACCATAATAGTAATAAGAATAATAATAATCATGATAATAATAAATATCATAATAATAATCATAATAATAATAATCATAGTAATCATAGAAATGATAATAATAATAACAACAACAACAACAATATCAATAATAATAGTAATTATAATAATAATTACAATAACAACATGAATAATAATAATAAATTAATAATAATAATGATAATAATTATAATTATAGTTATTATTAATATTATTATAATTATTATTATAATAAAAGGGATAAATCATGTCTGAACTTTTCTGATCTGATCTGAATGTTCCTGATCTGATCTGAATCTTTCTGATCTGATCTGAATGTTCCTGATCTGATCTGAATGTTCCTGGTCTGATCTGAATGTTCCTGATCTGATCTGAATGTTCCTTATCTGATCTGAATATTCCTGATCTGATCTGAATGATTCTGATCTGATCTGATCTGAATCTTTCTGATCTGATCTGATCTGATCTGAATTTTTCTGATCTGATATGATCTGATCTGAATTTTTCTGATCTGATCTGATCTGAATAAAATAAGAATAAGCAATAAGTAATAAGATTAAGACGAACAGAACAGCTTCCTAGTCTGGTCTGAACTGGTCTGGTCTGGTCTGGTAAGGTCTGGTTTCTTTGTATTTTTATAACTATCCAAGTCTGGTCTGGGACAAATTACAGTTCATCTTAAACATCCTTCCTCATTCACCGTCATCTTAAACTCATCTCTACTATGCGTAGAGCTCTGTACTTCAAAAACTAGCAGACCCATCAACCGAGGATGGTGTACTTCCAAGAAACATGATTCTTCTAGCACAAATGTATCCTCCAATAGCCTACGCTCAATTGGGTCAAATTCTCCGATCTGAGCCGATAAAAAAGGTGAAGTTGGTTTTTCATGCAAGGACGACGACTCCCCCAGTAATTAATCTCTGGCTTCCGGTTGTTGATTAGGAAGGAGAGTGGGTGATGGCATTATTGGTGAGGTGGTAGCTGTGCATGTGGGTGTCCAGGAGTGTAACGGAAGGAGGATAAAGGGATGGATTTGGGAGGAATTAATGAGGTGTAGGGGAAAAGGTGTTCAATAAATTTAACATCTCGACTAATGTATACACGGCCAGAAGATGGATCAAGGCAATGATATCCCTTATAGTCCGGGGCATATCCAAGAAAAACACAAGGAGTAGAACGTGGTGAGAGTTTGTTGGAAGACTTGGCAATAAAATTAGGAAAACATGCACATAAAATTAGGAAAACATGCACATATCTGGAATTTTGTTAAAAAGTTTATGATAAGGAATATTACCGCCCAGAACTGGAGTGGGTAGCCTGTTAATGATGTAAGCAGCGGTGTAAAGAGCATCTACCCAAAATTGAGGAGGTAAAGAAGAATCAATTAATAAAGTGCGAGTTAATTCAAATAAATGTTTTATGTTTGCGTTCAGCAACACCGTTCTGGGCAGGAGTCAGGACAAGATTTTCTGAATAAAATACCAGATTTTAAAAAATGGGTTTGAAATAAAAAATTGTCAAATTCACCCCCTCCATCACTTTGAAAGGATTGAATTTTACGTTCCAGGATATTTTCAACTAGTTTTTGAAAATCACAAAAATGAGTAAAAACTTCAGATTTACGCCGCATAGGATAAACCCAGGTAAAGCGTGAAAAATCATCAATAAAACATACATAATATTTAAAACCTAAGTTAGAAGGAACAGGAGATTGTCAAACATCAGAATGAATAAGTTGTAAAGGTGCATTAACAGAATGAGTAACATCTTAAAAGGTAGTCTGTGGGATTTTCCCAATTTGCAAGAAACACAGTCATGAACAAAATTACTAGAACTAGAAATAAAAAGCTGTTGCCGAAGCTTATTTAAAACTCGATCACCACAATGTCCCAATCTTTTGTGCCAGACAGGACCAGAAACAATGCGGGCTTAAAAGGCAGTAAATGGATAAACGTGCTCTTTATTGGTAGCTTGAAGAAGCGGTTCCCCCGTGTGATTGTCCTTAACAAAAAAAGAATTTTTATTAAAAACAACTGTACAACCATTATCCGCACACAATTTGTGAATAGACATTAAATTATATTTAAGGTGTGGGACATGATATACAAAGTTTAACATTAGCGGGCGACCTTGAGTAATTAATTTAACGTTGCCAATATTACTTATAGGAAGTGTAGTACCATCAGCAATTTTAACACTATTGTGACCAGTGTAAGGAGATTTGCATGTAAGGATACCTTCGTTAGGTGTCATATGGGCGGATGCGCCAGAATCCGGGTACCACACAGAGACATTTGATGTGTCAATTGGTAAAGCAGCTAAAGCAGGGGTAGTCTGACCCGTGAAACGGGGACAAGCAAGGGCTGAATGTCCTGGAGAAAAGCATATTTGACACACTACTGGAGGTGGTGGGCCTGAAAATTTTGGTCTACATTGGGGAAAAGTGTACTGACTTTGTGAGTAACACTAGATGGTAAATGATACAAATTAAAATAACTAGAACAAGAATTACTCATAGCCATACCTGGAGCCCCTACTGGCAGATTACCCCGCGGTCCATGTGCATGGAAATTTTGTCCATGTGGTGCTGCTTGCTGTCCGTAGTGAGGATAGCCATATCCACGGCCACGTCCACGATGTCCCCGAGCTCGGCCGCCCCGGTATCCACGGCCGCCACCTGCATGTCCCCTCTGGCCGCCACCTCCACGGGCTGGAGCAACTCGACCCAGATGTGGTCCCGCTGCATCAGGAGCAACAAAGGCTTGATGAGGCGGCTGCACCTCTTCTGACCGAAGGAAAGCATTTCTCTGTTCCTGTGCTAGAAGTATGGGCCGCAGAGAGTCAATGGCGGCGATGCCCGGAAAATATGTTATGGCAGTCACTAGGGATTCATAATCTCTTCCAAGGCCAGAAACAGTGTATTTTATTAAGTCCCGATTACTGACCGAGGAGTTAATGGTAGCAAGGTTATCGGCTATGATCTTAATATCCCGCAAATACTCATCCATGGACTGATTTTCACGCTTTTTAAGACGAGATAAAGTTCTTTTTAACTCCATGGACCGAGCAATACATGCAGATGAGAAACGATGTTGCAGGCGCTCCCAAATTTGATGAGAAAATTTAAGATCATGAACGTCGATTAACACCTCCCGTGACAAAGTGGCAAAAAGCCATGACCGAACGGTTTGGTCAATTTTTAACCAATGAGGGTAATCCGGGTTTGGAATGTCAGTACCGGGCAAACTTTGAATAAAAGGAGACGGAATTAAAATAGAACCATCTATAATCCCAAGAAGATTATGAGATATGAGAAAGGATTCAACTTGGGTTTTCCACGGGAGATAGTCTTCTACCGCACTAAGGCGAGTGGTGACCACATTAGATACATTTGGTGTAAAAAACGTAAGTTGGGAGGATAAGGAGGACAAATATGATGTAGATAAACCTGGAAGCAGAGATGATGTAGATCGATGAGCCGGCGATATCCCCGGATGACCGGAAAGTGTTGGGCTAGACAAATCCGGTGTGGCGGAAGGACCACCGGTAACAGCAATAAGTGTCCAAGTAAAGGGTGCTGGCATGTTGAAAAGCCTGTAGGAATCCATTGGAGGGGCCACCGAGAGCTGTGACATACGGAAATCTAGTGAAGGCTGCTCCAGTAGTGAAGGAACGGGCGCCAGTGTGGTCATGGTGGAATGCTGCATGGCTTCTCTAGAAATAGAGTGCTTCACGGAGGAAGTGTCCGGCGCTATTGTTACAAAAGATGCGGCAGAAACGGAGGACGTGTGCATCATTGCAGACGTTGTGGAATTGTCCATGCTGCTATAATGCCCGTAGGAGAATTATGTGAAACCTGACTAGTCTGATACCATATACAAGTCTCTATTATGTGAATAAGATGACTTAACCCCCAGGAGAGTCTAGGCCTCATATATATACAATAATAATAGGAGTTTACAATAATTACAAATATGCCCTAGAGATATAGATTATTACTAGATTCAACGATAAGAAGAAGCTCACTAACAACAAGGATTTGACACCCAGAAGTCCTGATCCTAGTTAAGGAGGATGGGAGGGTTTAGCTTCTTCAAAGCTTAAAAAATCCGTTTCTGCGGAGGTCAAGGAAATCTTGTTGCATTCTTCTCTATCAGCTTCACCAATTTTAACTTCTTCCTTAGGGTTACATAAAATTAAGAATCTGGGCCGTTGCCTAAGGGGAGCTTCTTCGGGTGATAGGTGTAGAGATTTGGTGGGTGGTTTTGGTGCTAGTAACTTGTCTAAGACCAATACAGAAACACTCGTGCCTTGTGGCCTGGAAACTAGAAAGAAGAAGAGTGAAAAACCAACTACTTTCGAAATTCTAGTTGGATAAATCATGGGAGCAATTCGGATAGAATGTCAACTGAGATTATACCTTCTATTAAACAGATCCTCATGTAAGAGGTCCATCTAGATTACAGAATGGTGAACCTTCTTCTGAAGTCTACCGTTGAACACACATTCAGATTCCGGCGTTTAGTTGTTTCAGAATGAGATTCATCAAAGAAATCTCATTTAATTACTTGCAAATTGGTAACCTCAACCAAAGACCGTTTAACGGAAAATGTTAGTGGGTGGCGTAAATGCAACAAATAAGTTAGAATTTGTGTTAATTTGAATTTTGGATTACCAAAAACTTGAGTGTCCAATTTCAAATTTATTAAAAACTATAGTGTCATTTTTGGCACTTCTCCCCTTTTTTATCATCAAAACAAATTGCTTATATTAATATCGTTAAGACTTGGATCCTTACAACAAACTCACAATGGCCAACCCTGATAACAACTATCTCTAATCAACTAGCATTATCAACCATACGGCTAGACTCAGAAACGATCACTCCTGAAAGAGCAATACGAATCGCTAACCACCAAGCGGGTTTGACACAGCAATCACGGCCATATAGATCCTTCTAACGACATAATATCTAGCAGATTTGTCATTCTTTATTGTAGACATAAAACTAAAGACATAAAGAAAAAACAGAGCAACATAAATAAACTTAACATGAAAGTAAGACCATAAAAAATAAAAGAGATGACAAATACTCCAAGCTCCTTCTTGCCCGTATTCTTGAAGTATCATCTTCCAAACCATATCACCTCGGTCATGCCCCTTGGATTTAAAAAAAAACTAATACAGTATTGTTTATTAATTAATTAAGGAATGAGTATCTCATTTGCAATTGCTTACTCTGTTGCAGTCTTTAGCTTTTGCATTATGGAATGCATTCCCGCTAACCAGGACATAAGCCTAACCAGGCTCCGAAAAACTCGACTTTGCGGCGAGCAGGTAGAGTACATCAACAAGCAATTGACACCACAAAGTACTTAAACTTGGTTTTTTTGAGTTGATGAAGCACTCCATTAATTCCAACGTTAAAAAAAGCTGGAATGGAAATAAAGAGCCATTTGTTTTATATGTTAGGGGGTGTTTGGATCTGATTCTCAAAACTGAAGGAGCAGAAACAGAAGCTGGAGTGTATGGGTGAAATTCCAGAAGCACTTTTGGAGCTCTAATTTACTCTCAGAATCAGTTTTTTTAGAAGGTGGGGGTACCATCTTCTGAAAATTGATTCTGATTCTGCTTCTGCTTTTAAAAAAGAAGCAGAAGCAGAATCAGTTCGAAACACCCCCTTAGTATCCCAGTCAGTCAGTCACAAATATCACTCCTATAATAAATTCCAAGTCCTTCCCGCAGCTTCTTACATACGGAGAGTATCATTTTCTTTCTTCTGTTGCCCTCTCTTTTCCTCTATGTTCCATCTCCTCTTCATTCTTCTTTTGCTTTCTCTCTTCTACGCCAATCTAAATTTTCTTCTTATTCTTCTTCTTTAGTTTATCTTCTTCTTGTTAGTCATTTATCTTACTCTTCACTTGCTACATAATTCTTTAAACTTTGGTTTGAAATTGTGAAAAAGAGACAGCTCTAAAAAATTCCAACATTTACAAAATAGTCCACAACCAGAGTTTGAACCATTGGATTATTGTGATTTTTCAACTGAGTTTTCTGGATGTATAATTCTCCATTCTGAACGGTGGAGATCTGGTCTGGAGGTGTGGAGGATTACCATTCAGGTGGACAGATTATTAGTAACATAATCTTCTCTTTTAGTGGAGTTCTTTAATTTCTTGGGTAATTTCTATTTGTAGAAAAATTAAAATTCAGATTTGCTTGCTGTTACTTTAATTATTTGAACTAACATCAGCTGGTGTACCATTATATTAAATAACTCAACAGTCAACTAATAGCTTATAAGATCTAAAAATCGCAGAGTCCATGAACATGAACTCTAGTGCAAATTCTAAAACTTACCTTTCTTGTGATTTATCATTCTCCATTTCTCCATAATGAAATCAAATCGCAGAGAGGCCTGTGATTCTGCTTTATCAACTGCAATTTGGAGATTCTTTGCCTTCATCAATGTTGAGGCAACAAACTGGTTAAATCTTATGGCTTTTGTTTATTGAAGACGGGTGACATGTAACTTTTTAGCCACTTCAGCAGCAATTAGCCATGTCATCATTTTCAGCAACAATTTCGGCCAAGTCACCATTTTTCTAACGTCTGATTAACAGATGTACTTAACCGACACAAAAAATTCAAGTTTATGTACTTTGAGGTATCACATGTAAAATGATGTACTCTTTATGCTATATAAAACAAGTTAAAGTACCATTTTGATATTTTTGTCGATAAATAATTCATACAAGCTTTGTTTATAAGATCATTTGGACATAAAAAGAAAAAAACATCTTTACCAAAATATTTTTCCAAGAATAAGCAGAGACTATATAAAAGCTTATTGAACCTGTTAATTACTAATTACTAATACTACTACCTATAAAACTAATGAACACTTGTTCCGCTAATTCATACCATGCAGCACATCAGGCTATCAGCAGCAATTTTCTCACACTTGAAATTATCATCAGCTCTCATTTTTCTCATTAAAATGCAAAAACCAAGAATTGCATATGTCATGATGTCATCAATCTAAGCAATTTTGCTACAAACACCCATACACATGAATTACCAACCAATTCATATGAAAGACGCCAGGGCGGACATGAACCTTCAACTACCGCGCTTCAGATGTTTCAGAATGAATCTTTCGGCATACAAAGGATACTTATTTCGGACATATTGTTGGAGACACTTGTGATATGAGAAATCTACCCATACACCGTCTATTCTGACCACAAACAGGCACCTTGACCCTCTGAATTGGGGATGTTGATCAACCTAACACAGAAGATTTTTTAGAAAAGAAGCATGGTCTATAGTGAGGGGTTAATCAGTGATTTTATTTTAATCAGGCAAAAAAACTATGAAGCACTCATTTAGTTTTTTACTAGCAGAATAGTGTGAGAATACAACACATCTGAAGGAAGAAAAAATGAATTGAATTTCATTTTGAACTAATCTGAAATGATGTAAAGAAATTAAATATGGAATGCTACTTAAGCATATTGAAGTGAAAAGGCAACATTATCATTAAGTATGAAACATTACCATGATTGAGTCAAGCCCGACGCCAATTTTATCTTCACAATGAGGGTGATGAGAAAGAAGCCTCTCTACCACTATTTTCTCATCTTCATCTGTAAGACGTTGTCCATTCAAATACCTATTAATAGTGAAACAATCAATCCAGGTTTATAAATTGAAATATAATCCATTGCTCAATGAAAATTGTGAAATTTGCTTTCTCGTATTCTCTATAGCCGAGGGAACTTTTTGTCGGTCTCCCATCAAAATAAATTATACGAGTAGTAAATATTAGTGATGGTTAACATCAGTTTAGGTTTAGGCATTTCAATGAGAGCATAAAATCGAGAGACCAATTACACAATCAAACTCCATTTAAACTCTGTAATCCCTACATGGCAGGCATTCATTGGA